CCCGGGGCTCCACACGTGGCTCCGCGGGCGCCGCGCCGGCCAAACACTTCCGGCTCCGGGCCCGCCCGCGCCCGCTGATGACGTGTGCCCGCCCCGCCCTCTCCGCGCGCGGAATCCTGGGAGCCGCCCGCTGCCCTTCTCGGTCCTCCCAGAGGACGTTTCTTGGTCGACTTCTTCCCTAATATGAGCTCCTGTTTATACTCGCGCCCTGCGGACGAGATCGGAGGGCGGGCCGGAATAGGAGGCCCCGTCCGCGGCCGTCCCTTAGGTCCTGTCCACCCAGACGCACGCCGGCGCAGGGCCGGCACCAGGCCACTGCTCCCGTGGGCCGCCGGCCAGCCTGGTCTCCAGCGCTCTAGGAGGACAGTTGGCCGTGGGCATTTTGTCGTTGCAAACTCCTCAGGAAGCACATGCCCAGGCCCCAGGATGAATTCCAGAAAATGGAATCGTGGGTCAGAGCGTCATCCCCAAAGGCTTAGGCTGGGGCCAGCCAAAGCGCAGCAATGCCCTGGAAGGGTCTGCAGAAATGGCCGTAGCCCCAGGCCCTGCGTTCCCCCTCCTGGGGGCGCATTCAAATTGTATCAAGAGGGTAGGAAGGTCTGTGTCCCCTCCGCGGACCCAAAGCATGATGAGCTGGTTGAACTGGGCTCACTAGTGGGCTTACTTTGGGGTCTGAGAGTACAGGGCAGGAACTGAACCTGGGACTGGGGAGGGACTGGGGACAGGACGTTTGGCTGAAAGGTGGGCAAAAAAGGGGCGGGAGAATTCTGTCTCAGCAACAAAGGAAAAGCAGAGAGCTGCTCACTGAGCACTGGGCAGGGGAGGGGCCAGGAGAGGGCTGCTACATTCTCTCCCTCCAGCCCCAGCTCTTAGGGATAGGAGAGTGAGCTGTCCTGGGAACTCAGGCCATGCCGTGACCCTAGGCCACTGTCCCAGGCCTTGGGCTATACCAGCCTGGTCAAAGGGTGGTGGCCAGGCCCCTGCAGTGCCACACTGCATGGTGTCTTCCCAGAGCCCTGCCAGCCTGTGGGCTACTCTGACCTCTCCCTGCCCCGGGGCAGAACTTTCTCAGGGCATCTGTGGCCCTTGTCAAGGGCCTGTCAGAATCCATTAGGGAAACCTAGGTGCCTGCCCTGCTGGGCCTGATCTGAGAGTCCCGAGGGGCAGGATGAGAGGATGGGGAGGGGTCTTTGGTGGCCTCACGTCTCTGCGGGGCACTGCTCTGACTACCAGCTGCCTCTATGGCTGCATCATGGCTCCCAAACACTTGTTCTTAAACACTGAGAGAGTCCAGCCCCATCCACAGCTCCCTAACCTCTGTCCCAACTTCCTGCTTCACTCCCTGGATGGAGCACCACCCGAGTCACCCTCTAATTGCTCCACTGGGGAATTTCTACTTTCCACTTCTGGGGGGATTCCCCTCCCCCAGCCTCTGCCCAGGCTTAAAGATGAACCCTGAAGCCGGACGCCTGCTAAGAGCCTTCGTTAGGACTCAGTGACTTGGCAGTGGTTTCCCTTGGTCCTGACTTCCAATTTGCCTCTTGTGCAGACAGCTCCTCTAGTACCCCCTCCTCCAGGCAGCCTTCCCAGAGCTGCCATCTGTTCCATCTGAGCCTCCCTTGAGCCTCAGCTGATTACCAGGTGTGATGCCCGTCCCAAGGCAGGCTTTGTATATTGGGGCTCCCCTGATAAGAACTGATGCCATGTATGCCCAGCTAAGTCATCACATTGAATCCTTCCTGAGCCTGTGAGGAGGGACCCCCTTACAGACAGGAAAGCTGAGACTCAGAAGGTTAAGTAACTTGCTAGAGGTCAGAGGTCGCGCAGCCAATGTGTTCTAAGTGGGGTGAGCACAGAAGCCTGTAAACACGGCTTTGAATGGAAATGTGAAGAAAGGAAGAACAGGTAGGAAGGAGGCCCTGGAGGAAAGGGGAGAGCTGACAGTGTCCCTGGGGGGCTGCCCTGGGTCTCTGGCAGGGGCTGAGCCAGGAAGTCCTCTCCTTACCACCTGGCAGAGCCTTCCACTGCTCTGCGCTGTGACCCCGAGGCAGCACTGGCCTCCTGACCCCAGCTGCTTTCCCCTTTGGGTTCAGGTTGGGGCATGGGGGCCCAGGAAGCACTGCCTGCCCAGCTGTGCTCTGCCTCGGGCTCTGGGACTGCCTCTGCCACTCTGCCTAGAGCCCGGACCTGCTCAGCCGGTGTGCTCCATGCATAGAAGGCTGGGACTCCTTCGAGGCCCCTCCAGGCTCAGAGTCAGGGGAAGCCAGGTGTGATTTCTGCAGAGCCTGGACCGCAAACTGGCCCAGTGATGTCATCCGGCTTTCTGCCCAGACGCGGCCAAACCAGCTTCTGTGGGCCCTGGGGAAAGTGGACGGTCCCCAGGTGGCATCCTCCTGCAGATGCTGGCACCTTCCAGGCTCTCCCCTCGCTCCCCTCTAGGGGCCACCAAGGCTCCAATCAGTCCCTGCCTGGTGGGGGCTGCCCTGATGTCCGGTCCCCTCCTCCACCTCTGCCACCTGGCCACCCTGTCCATTCCATCTGTGTCCCAAGATCAGGCTTCCGGTCAGGCCAGCACAGGGCCAGGCATCTGGGGGTCAGTGAGGGGGTGGGGCTCCTGTCCTAGTGTGCCATCACCCAACTTCTTGTGTCCCTTTGCTTATCTGCAAGACCCTCCAGTGGGAAGGCTTAGACTGCCCCGAGGCATGGCCCCGGGCAGGGGCTCCTTGCTCACAGCAGGCTGCCCTGCAGCCCTGGCCCTCTGCGTGCTCGGAAGTTGCCTAGTTTGGGGACGGGCATCAAAGACCCTCTGGGGTCTGGAAGCCAAGTCTGCCTCCCAGGGCAGCAGCTCTTATTTCTAGAAACAGAAACTTGAGCCCTTCAGGCCTTTGGGGAGGGGGTGGTCAGGCAGCTGCAGATACTTCTAAACTTGGGAAGGGGCCACGGGCGGAACGACACCTGCTGGGGCTGGCCCAGCAGTCCGTTTGCTTTTTTACATTGTTTTATTGGCCTGGAAAGAATGCTGACTTGGAACGGTTGAAGCACACCAAGAGCGAAGGCGAGGCTCGGGTGAGGCAGTTACCAGGGTCGGACAGCAGCATGCCCCTGGGCTCGACAGGCAGGGGCCAACGGGCTTTCCCATCCTTTGGGCGTTTGTCCTGGACCTTCTGCTCAGAGGCACCGACCTGGTGTCCCTTCACCTGGCACCCCTGTGCTCTGCCCTCGTCCGGCAGTACCAGTCCTGGGCAGGGTTTGCTTCCCTCAGCTCCTGGCTCCCAGCCAGTCCCCCTCAGCAGCAGGGTCGGGTCACCTTGCCGCCAGCAGATGCTCGGACAGTCCCTGGAGGGATCGCATATACACGCATGAGAGCCCAACCTTGCTTTATTCATGCAGAGACATCTGAAGGACCGTGATGGACATCTGCCACGCAAGTGCCACCTCCCCTCTTAGCAGCCGTGTAATATTCCACGCGGGGGGCCGCGTGTTTGCTCACTCCGCATCTCCGCTGTTCAGAGAGGCCTGAGGCTGGATTCCTGGAGGCAGGATGCCTGGTCACAGAGTTCCAACAATTTCCATTTGCATAGATCCTGCCAAATTACCTTCGGAAAAGGATGTAGCATCTCCCCATGGCAGGCAGCAAGCCGCTGACCCCGCATGTTCCCACTCAGCCCTCGCTAGCTGGTGTGGGCCAGTCTGGGTGTGGGTGCGGGGAAGGCATACTCGCTGTTTTAATGTGCCGAGTCTAGGATTATGTCATGAGTTTTTGAAAAATTTCAGTGTACTAACAGTTCCTCCCCCTCTGCCTGGCGTCTCTGGGGCCTGCCTTTGTCGGTGGGGTCCTGGTAATCCTGAGGCCTATAGTGTCCTTACATCAACCGGAGCGGCAGCTCAGGGTCTCCCGCTCAGTCTTCAGGAGCCGGGGCTTGCCCAAGGTCAGGGCAGGCGGGCGCTGCAGGGCTGGGCCGCAGCCAGGCTGCGCCTCCCGCACGCCCTCGCTCTGCACCAGGATGGCCCAGGAGGTGCCTGCGGGCACCTTGAGGAAGGTCGGCGGCTCCAGGCCAGCCCGGAGGGGCTGCGGGTGGGGTGCGGGCAGTACCTGCTGCTGAAGCCTGGGGGCCTGTGGGGTGCGGGAGTCAGGCGGCAGAGTAAGGGAAGGCCTGAGTGCCCTCGAGTGCCCGGCGGCTCTGCGGCCTCAGTTTCCCGCCCGGAGGCGGCGTACGTGACGGGGACCGAGGGTGTCCAGGAACCAGGGGCTCCGGCTTCAGGGCCCCGCGCGGGCGCCGGGAGGGCAGTGGCGGGCTGGCCGACGGGGTCTCTGCGAGCGGCTGGCTG